TCTTGACAGCCCTGTCTGTCCTCTCCGATGGACCAGGACGCTGCTCAGTTGTTTCATGAACTACACGATGATTCTGTTGACTGTCGAAAGCGGGATTCCCAAATTCTGCGAAATTTGCCGCTGACTTATTCCACCATCTACTTGACCAACTATCCTTCCTCTAGCAAAATCTGACAATTCGAGTTCTAGGCATGTTGTAGCACAAGATAATTAGTGTGCGGACCATTTTCATTTATATAGTGCTCTGTGAACACAAATTAGTTAGCATAAATCAGTTAAATGACTGAAAATTAGGTGTCTATTTACTTGTGACCACTCAGTGTATGTACAATAAATTCAACACTATAGATATTATACACATATCCTAAATCCTATATATGTAGTTCTCTTTCTTCTCAAATATCCACTTAGGCCTATTCGATTACTTTAGAATGTCACTTGATAAGCCGAACTATCTCCTCTATTTCTATCGCACTAGTATTCTCTACGATTCATTTACAATTGTGGCGAGAATTACCGTATTCGTTTGGTCTTCTTTCTTCTGAGCACCCTCTGTTCCTTTTGTCAAAATGCATTCAGGCTGATTCAATTACTTTAGAACCACGCTTTGACGGAATAAAAATTATTTTTCTTATCTTCTTTTCTACTGTTAGTTTCACTAACATATTAAACGTTAGGCCTATGTCAGTCGTTAGGCCTATCACTTCTCCAGTACTTAACTTCACGCCAACTTTATTCTCTTTCACTATTATCTGTCTGTCTGCTGCTTCCTGCTCGTCTCACGCTATTTATATATTTATCACTTAATTGTCTGTCCGACTTCTATGTTCTTGACGTCAGTACATTACAAGGGACGTTCGATATTCTCAACATCAATGAATTAACAAAAAAAAGCGGACGATTGTAGAAAGTTAACTCTTTCAAAAACGAAACAATAATAAAATATTCACTAACAAAAATAAATTAATCACTAATATCTAAACCAAACAGTCTTTCATATCATGACATTCTGTATTCTTGTAAATTGTTTTGCAACAAGCTGATTGATGAAGGTTTGCATACCTGTCAATGAAAATCTTTTGAATCTTAAGATAAAAGCATATAACTGAAATGGCCGATGAAATGGGAGTAATTAGAACTCCCATTGAAAACTAATTCCTTAGTAGATGGAACAATTCAAACGCTAATCAAAGTTGAAAGGAAACATTGAAAAGGCATATGCAATGGTACAGTTGCAATATTTGCACATTTGGCAGAGAGCGTTGTATTTACTGTAAAGCTACTATGGTTGTTGGCCCCCATCTGTCATTTTGAATTACCGATTAAGTCACCAGCAACCCACTACTCATCTTCCACGCAAATGGATTGACAGTCACTCTTATAATTCACTCACAACTTAAAGTGGAGAAATGTTTAGTGGTATTATACGGATTCGACCCTAAAGCTCTATCATAGGTGTTTGCAAAGAGAAATCAAAGCTTTTCTTGGAACTGATTATAGTTTAGGTCACATCCAAAACGAACTTTTTAGCTAAAGTAGAAAAGATGACAAAGTTTTGTCTAGTAATGAATGAACATTTTTTTTTGTCAGTTCATGAACATTAAAGCATTTTATCATTGTTTCATTTCTGAAGTCCAGAACTTGCTGACACATTTGCTCTAAAAAGTAACTGTTAAAACAAAAATATAATATGTGAAGTACAATTCTATAGCAATGTGCTGTAATCCCGACTATAGTAGTATGAAATGCTATAATAATGATAATAATATAGTGTATGCCTGCCTAAATTAGTATGACAAACTACTCTGTTAGAAGAAACTGTATACCAAACTAAGATAGTTTCAACTATAGAGTGATTATAAGGAGTTTTGTAGTTCAGCACATCATATCTCACAAACGGTATGGTCTACAAAAGGTGTTGCGCCGTGTTATGACATATAAGACTGTTTAGTGTAGATATTAATTTGTTTATTTATTTTGTGAATGAATATTTTACGATTGTTTAGTTTTGTTCATAACAAGAGAGCTAGAAGCAATTATTTTGAAGTAAACATTATGATATGTTTAGTTAGTCAAGTCGATAAGAGTCGTACTTTGTGTTTGTAACTCATCGATGTAGAGATTATCGAACATCGGGTGAAATTTATTGATGTCGAGGATATAGCAAGAATACTATTAAGCAACAAATTAATAAATAGTGTGAGAGGAGCGGGAAAAGTAGACAGACAGACAGGACATACGAGAAGTAAAGTTACGAGAAGGAATTTGGCCAAAGAAAAGTTAAACGCACAGTTAATCGTCGTAGGAGTGGAAGGCCTAACGATTAATATAGGCCTAACGGTTGATATATTATAGTGAGACTAACGGTGTTGAAAAGAGATAAGAAGAATAGTTTATTTCGTCAAAGAGAGTTCTAAAGTAATTGAACTAGCCTCAGTGGACTTTGACAAATAGACAGACGATTTGCGGAAACAGAAAGAGAGAAAGGAGCAGACGATTTTAGAAGAATAAAATACAACCGTGGTAACTCAACGATAAAGTTAGTGAACTATACTCCGATAGTTTGGCGATAGTAATGTTACGTCTCCGTTCGTAAGTTAATTTTCTGTAAATTTTGTTCCGACGAAACTTTAGCGACACAAGTCCTTTTTTTTTTTTTAAATAAAACTGGTCTATTTTTTCTGAATACAACTTTGCAATACACTTAATTTCCACAGTTGCGCTATAACAAACGCTATAATTCACAACGAACGTCTCACGTGCTCAACTCAACAATACTCTGTCCGCAGTTCAATTACACATCGTTGCCGTCACGCCTTGACCGTCTTATATGTACAAGAATACCGAAATCTAGTAACCTCCCGACGCTTCATGAACGTTCTAGAAGCGCGTGACGTGTTACTAGCGTCACGTGACCTCCGCTGTCGTAACAGTAATATAGAAAAATAGTTCGGCTTGTCAACTGAAATTCTAAAGCAACTGAATAGGCCTAAGTGGACTTTTGACAAGAAAAATAGAACTATATAGTGTTTATGATATGCCTATGATCATCTTCAGTGTAAAGAATTTGTTGTACATACATTTAACCAGTTCGCAAACAAGTGGAGAGCATACTGTTGATTATCTTTAAATATATCGCAAACAAGTCTAAAGTAGTATGAAACACTTC